GCGCTAAACTTTTAGCTTTAATAACAACTGAAGGCAGTTCAAGAACCACACTCACTCCATCAAACTCCATCAAGTTCTGAGCTGCTTAAGTTGCACAATCATGCATGAGTATTGTAGTCTGTCAACATCTACTGTATGTACATTGCTTTAGGCTCGCCCCTTTAATGTTTTACATTCGAATCATTATTTTGTCTCAAAAAAAAAATTCTCATTGTAGCTTCGTTTGACAAGGTCTGAGTGATTCAATGTTACAAGACTCCTAAAAGCCACCATGTACAGATTTAACAGAAAGGGGGATTATTCAAGTAAGCAGAAGTCTCAAAACTAATTTCCTATCATCTCTTTTCTAGTACCCAACAGAAACTGAACTGACGTGGTCAAACCTTGGAAAAGAGGTAATAGTAATCCACCACTATGGTTTCTGTTTATAAAACACACCTACAGGACTAAATGATGACATAGCACCCAGTGATATTGATACTAAGGGATATTATAGATATAGTAGACCTAGAGCTAGGGACGTTAATTGTGAGTCAGTATATTAGATCTAGATCTATGTAATGCAATTATGTTACTTTGTTTATAGTAAAAGCTTTGGTTTTTGAACTTATCATTCTTCCAAAGCAATTGCTAGATCTGTGGGCAGGTTTTATCTTCAAGTACACCAAGGATAAGTGGAGATCGATTGAAGACATTTGTATGCTTTTTTTGTAACAAATCTTTGCTTTGTTTTGTTGTCTTTGCTGCTAATTTTTTTTCTATCAATATTTTCTACTAAAAATATCATTATCATTTTTGTGAATTAGCTATAGATCTTGAAACCTATTTTCTTTAGGTTGCAACCGTTGCATAGCTTTAAGAAAGAAGTTTTATCTATTTTTGACAAATAATAATCAAATTATGAGCATTTAAAAAACTAGTCAATGTTTGAAAAAGCAAAGGCTATTATTATAATCCATGGATTCTTTGAAAATTGGCTCTAAAATTATTACAATTTCTGATACACATTGATGCCCTTGTAGAAAGTTTAAGCTGTTTACAGCAAATAATTTTAGAGTTATGATCATATATTATTTTGTGATACATTACTATTACATGCAATACATGCATGTACATAGAATTTCTCACCAACTTTTCCAGAGTGTCCAGTTAGTGTATGTGTCCGTTTTGTGTTAGCTGGAATTAATGGCGTCCTTTTTTGACAACAAGACAGATTTGATGGCATTTTGATCATCATCAAGATCACATAGCTTTGATACCTTGATGAAAAAAGAGAGAGAGAAAAAAGGATAATGCATACACTTTTAATTGTATGTACTAGATTACATGTCGTTTAGTGTTTTTTTATGTATTGTAGGTTTTGTTCTACAAATTTTAGCATTTTTCTTTAATTTTAGGTACCAAATGTATAAATTAATGATCTTACACAAAGCTCATTTTTTGCAAAAGCCTCTACCACTTACATTTTTTATTGGAAACTTACTAAATAACATAAGGGCATTGATATAAATATTGATCAATAACAAAAACAAACTAGTGGTTCCTTTGAAAGCTAGAGAGCTGGAATGACGTAAAGATAATTAAACCTAATCAATTTAATCTAGGTGCTGACCTGATACAAAAATATTGTCCCTTGACAGCATTTCTTTAATAAGCAGGAGACCTATTTAGTGTTACCTATTAAGCAAAATTCTAATGCTATAGATAAGCATCTAAAAAGAGTATTTTCGATCCAATGGAATGCTGAGCTGGCTGCATACTTAATAGACTAAGGGGGTGGGGCTGAAGGTCTGCAGCTGAAAACTCCAAGGTTTTACATCAAAAGTCCAAAAGACAGCAATGATGTGCTTAATACAATAATTAACTAGTGCTACAGCAAGTTTGAAAGTTAAATGCAGTAGTCAAAAAAATTTGTCAGAAGTAGCTGATTTCCTTCTCAAGCTCTGTAAACCAATAAAATTAATGCCACATTATGCCTGAAAATAAGTTTTTAGTCAAAATATTTAAAACATGAGAATTGATTGCAACAACTTTTCAACCTTGCTGTAGCTCTAGCTAATTATTTTATCAAGCACATCATTGCTGTTTTTTGGACTTTTGATGTAAAACCTTGGAGTTTTTAGCTGAAAACCTTCAGCCCCACCCCCTTATTAAGTATGCAAAAATATGTTTAGCTGATTATCTCTGTAGTTATTCATTCAAATTTAGTACTTTTATTTTTCAAAAAAAGTAATTTTGCATACCTACCTGCTGGTACCAGACTACAATCAGAATTGCACTGCTAACAGACTTAAGAAATTAATTACCATTATCCAACTACTATATTGAGCCAATAGGTAAATTTTTCATCCCTGGATCAAGTGAAGAACTTTTGCCTAGACAGCTTTTGGCTTTTCTAGCATTGTGGCATCAGTTCATGGACTGCTATCACATTATAACATTTTTGGTAACAAAAAAACATTATAAAAAAACATAACAATGCATGTTCAAGACAACAAGCCTATAAACATGGAAAGAAATGTAAATGGGAAAATGTATAATTGCCTTCACTTGAATGCAAGACTCATTGATGACCTCAGTGTATCTTCTAAGCTTGTGCATCAACAAAATGGTGACACTAAAGAGATAGAGAAACAAAAAGAGGAAAGAGAGGAAGGTGTACAGCACTGAATTGTTATTACAAAAGTAATAGTAATGGCAATGGGAACTGTATTGCCATCTGTATTCAGAGGGCAATGTCAATGGTAATGGGTTTATCTGTGACAATTACCATTACAATTACTTAGTAATTTATTAACTCAAATACATGTACATGTACATCACATACTACTTACCATTGCATTACTGCATAATCTCAACACATCCTTTTCTCTAAGTAATAAGTTAATGTCCATGGAACAAACTGTTTATTGATTATGAGTAGTTAACCACCCTAAAGGAGAGAGAGAGATGGTGATTTTAAGTGATGTCGATGTTTAAACATTGTACTTGTTCAAATAGGACATGCTTTGAATTTTCTTAGCATTTTGTCTTAATTGCATTCTCCTGTACAATAAATGATACATCAATTATTAGTGACCAAAGGACACTCACTATCTCTCATTTACTGTACACACATATGTGCACTGAATAAAACATGCACTGTAGTGTGAATTGTGACTTACCATCATGTTGTTAGGATTGTTCTGTTCCCACATCTTTTGCCGAAAATAAATAGCAAGTGGATTTGATAGGATCTTGACACACAATTCGTCAGTGACCCAAAACTGTACTATAATAATGAATAATAAAAAACATGACATTGACGTACATATGTATAATACAGTTTCTTACTGATACTATAAGCTTGTGTTAACACAAGAAGACAAAGAACACGAGAGGTAGGAGAATCCTTTATAGGGAGGAAAGAGAAAGAGCAAAAGTTAGATGTATATGTACATGTACTAGGAGGAGAGAAAGGCAAAAGAGAGGAAGAAATATCAATACGAGACAAGGATATACAAGAATAGGAGTCAAGAAACACAACAATGAGAATAGAGAAATGCAGTACCAATAAGGGTAGGCAATATATCAGTATTTAGTAACTATCATGATAATCATTAGTAATATTGCAGCAACAGAATATAATCATTTATTACTATACGTGTGAGTGGTACATGCAATTAAATATCATAACCCTTAGCACAAGTGCAATGTAAATGGCACCACTACTAAACCAGACTAAGTTACATGTACTGTGTTGGATTTCTAGGCTAGGAACCACTACAAAGGATCATTGTTATTGTAACAGGCTTGATGAACACACAATTATTAGTAATTACTGTGATATCAAAATGAGATATCATGTTTTAAAACAGCATTCAATATCGTCCACCTAGATTGTGTATTATTCATCTATAGACTACACTATTACAAGATGCATAAACAGCTATAAAGATTATTATAATACCACAAAGCAACTTAGCTTAGACTACATAATTGATGACATCCTATAAATCTTATGCACACAGACACAAAACTAATATGGTGCACAGACACAACACCCTGGGGCAATAGTAATGATTACAGGGTATTAAGTAAAGTAGCATAATAGTAAAAGCAAGAGATTTTGTGAACATCAGGAAGTAATTCAGTGTAATGTAATTCTCATAATACAACGTAGACTGCTATTTCATGTACAGCAATATGCTATGAGTGACAAGAGCAAGTATAGCTGGAAACAACTAATCAATTCAGAGGCTTTTGGCATCCTGTGCCAAGTGACTATCGCCATTTAAAAAAAATTCATGCCGGCAATAGAATGCAATGCACAGACACCTTAAAACCACTCAGTTAAATTACAACATTATTTTTTATTGATAACAATGGCTTGATGTAATAGTAACAGTAATATGCTTTACTGCAATAATAATAATTATTATTATAATAATTATAATAATTATAATTATTATTATTTCAACTGTAAAAACATAATATGCATGGACAAGAACTAAGGAACAATATCAAATGAACAGTTAAAGGCTGGCTGCAACTTGTACAGCAACCATACTAATAGCTAGACTAATAGCAAGAGTAGATAATAGTTAGATCTACTCTTGCTAATAGTAATGGATTATATATATTTAGTGATTCTGGTAATGAATAATGATTATACATGGTCACAATGAAATAAAATGGCGGCTATCAGCAACTCTGAGCTTATTTGCAGCAGAGTAGACGGTCAGCAAGATAAAGCTAAACTGCTGTCCAAAGACTTCTCTAGCAAGAATAAAGGTTAGAAAAGCAGATACAAAATCTTTTTTTAATATAAAGGACTCTGATAAGTTGAATGCAAGTGAGAAAGCTGTAGCTAGCTGCATGCATCATGACAGTGATGTTTCTGCTGAGCAAGCCTAAGTTAACAAAGCAGACGTACAATCTTCTTCAAATATAATTTGTTCAGTAACTTTAATTGCTGCACAGATTCTTAAGTGATGGAGAAAATTTAAGGCCACAAGATCTGGGGAATTGTTTTGCTTGCTCATACATGTAGATCATACAGCACACATAATCTATAGTTTGCTTAGGCTTGCCCCGTTAATGTTTTACATTCTTCTAGTAATCATTAATTAAGCTAAACTACTTATTGGGCAAAGCCCACTAAAATGAGAAAGAGTTAGTATGTACAGACAGGTTGTCTAAATAATTATAGGTTAGACCATACTATTTATGGTTAGACAAGACAACAAAACCAGGCCTAATGTTTTACATTCTTCTAGTAATCATTAATCAAGCTAAACTACTTATTGGGCGAAGTCCACTAAAAGGAGAAAAGTTATTATGTACGGGCAGGTCATCTAAATAATTATAGGTTAGACCATAGTATTTATGGTTAGACAAGACAATTCGCATATGAGGTTTCTATGTGATTTAGATTACCGAGGAAGCAAATTTAATTAACTGAGGGCGTAGCCTGAGGTTAATTACAAGGTAATCTAAATAAATTGCATTGAAACCGAAAATGCGTTGTCTAGGTTCTTTAGATTATGACTGTGAGGCAGTGGGCTCGTTACCAACAAGAATAATGCTGTTGCTAACCAGTCTTTTTCATGTCCTGAAAAGCTATTGGTCAGTGATTTTACTTTGGGAGACGCCATAGCGATAGCACAAGACACAACAAGACAGTAGTCTAAGAAGTTATTTAAGAGGTAACTAAGCTATTTTTAGATTACTTCATTTGACCAATCAAAGTGCCTCATTTTACCTGACTATAAACTAACTATTAATAGACACTTCCTAAGGATAGTTTCCAGGAACAGTTATACCGAACTCCAGACAACTGTCCATGAACAAAAGGATAGCCAGGTGCCTTGTCTGGTGTAGTGTCTCTCTTTGATTGCGATAGGATCATCCTCCTACTCAAATACAATAAATAAACTATTATTTTATTTATTATTTTATCTACTCAAGCTATACTGGGTATTTAGGGCTTACAACTAAATATCAGTTGCATATATTTTGTGTGAAGCTGGAAATATTCACTTCCTCAGATAAGAAGGAAAGAAATCAAGGAGGGATGATTCTGGCTCTTGCTATTCTCATTGTTGGCTTGCTGCTCCCTGATGTGACTAGATCATGTCCCTGTGATAATCCTCAGCCGTTTGACTTGTCATCAAGCCTTTCTTGTACTAACATCAATTCTGTCATTAATGGCATTAGAGGGAAAAGGTATTGTAGACTCAGTATATATTTATTATAATTTTTTACTTTATTGCTTCATACTTACCCCGCTTTTAAAGACTATTTGCACAGATTTAATATTTTTGTCACTTTAACCCTTCTTATTTTCAACTGAGAGTCCAGCTAACTCAGCCCTCCTCTATTTATCTTGCAGCTATAGCTTGTAATTTTTTGCACACTCTATTAGCACCTCAATGTGTAAATAATGTGTGAGGATAATTATTGAATCATCAAAAAATTTTATCAATGCTTTGTTTTTTTTATAGTGTGGCTCAGTGCCAACCAGTTACTGTCACTACTACTGGGCCTCCACCTGGAGTCCAAACATGTTCCCTCCCCTCCGCTTACAACCCACAGAATGATCAGTCACTCCTTCAGTCTCAAGGGGATGGCTACCGGTTTTATAGAATATTCCAACCTGGCTACCATCTTGAAGAGTGAGTTATATAGCCTATAGACTACACATTATTATCAATATTGGTTCTCAATAGATGCTATGATGGTAATGTATTCTGTGCTTATAATGTACAGTGCTCTCCCGATGAGATATTGTATTATCATTTCTCAGCTCATGACATTGAAAACCCAACATCAACTGGTAAGCATATTCAGGATTTGTATCATTGACATTTCATTCTGCTATACAATAAGGTCAATGTCTTGATAGCATTAACATCAATCGTCAATCATTTCCTAACCAGCCACTATCATCATGTGGTCGTGTGGGCATTAATGGAGCAGGCTTTTCCACTTATGATGTCGTGCAGGATGGCTATGACATAGGAAGTCTAGATGCCACTTTTCGTTCAAATAGTAGATGCTCAGGAACTGGTTACTTCTTATGGGTTGATTGCGTTAGAAATGATACCAGTAATTATGCGGGGATGTGTCCAAAAGTAACTACTTCTGGTTTTGCATATAAGGTAGATAAATTAATTCATTCTTTAAATAATATGATTATGCAGCGGACGATTAGAGTTCCATTGAGGAGCACATTAATTTATTCAAACCGTAAGTTGATACTGACCGGTTGCTTTGGTAAAAAGTTACTTGCAAAGAACATATTTTTACTCAAAGTCGTGTATGATGGCAGTCATCAAGTTTTTACCTTCAGGTCTTCTTATAAAGCAAGAAAATTCCAAGGAGAAGGTAGAGCTTAAAAATCATGCATTCCTTAATTCTCTCCAATCAGGTCTATTGAATGTACATTATTATTGTCGCATTAGAGGTTATAAGAAATACTGTGTTGCTAAATATAAGTTCATTGGAGTTCCATTCAGAGTAATTATAATCATTATTTTGTCTCAGGAAAAAATAATTTCTCATTGTAGCTTCGTTTGACCAGGTCTGAGCAACTCAATGTTACAAGACTCCTAAGAGCTATTGTGTACAGATTTAATGGAAAGGGGGATTATTCAAGTAAGCAGAAGCCTCAAGACTAATTTCCTATAATCTTTTTTCTAGTACCCAATATGAACCAAACTGAGGTGGTCAGACCTTCGAAAAGAGGTAATAGTAATCCACCACTATGGTTTCTGTTTATAAAACACACCTACAGGACTAAATGATGACATAGCACCCAGTGATATTGATACTAAGGGCTATTACAGATATAGTAGACCTAGATCTATAGACATTAATTGTGAGTCAGTATATTAGATCTAGATCTATGTAATGCAATGATATTACTCTGTTTATAGTAAAAGCTTTGGCTTTTGAGCTTAGTCGTTCTTCTAAGGCAATTGCTAGATCTGTGGGCAGGTTTTATCTTCAAGTAGTACACCGAGGATAAGTGGGGATTAATTGAAGACAGTTGTATAATTATTTTTGCAACAAAATTTAATTTGCTTTGTTTTTGTTGCCTTTGCTGCTAATTTTGTTTTCTGTCAATATTTTCTACTAAAAATATCATTATTATTTTGATGAATTAGCTATAGATCTAGATGCCTATTTCTTAGGTTGCATAGCTTTTAGAAAGTTTTAACTGTTTCTGACAAATAATAATAAAGTTATGAGCATTTTAAAAACTAGCTAATTTTTGAAAAAAGCAAAGGCTATTATAGTCCATGGATTCTTTGAAAACTGGCTCTAAAATCACTCCAAATTTTTATAACAATTTCTGATAGCCAAATTGATGTCCTAATGGTATATAGAGAGTTTGAGCTTTTTCAAACTAATAATTTTTGAGTTATGAGCATAATATATTATTTTGTAATTTATTATTACAATACATGCATGTACAAGTAGAATTTCTCACCAACTTTTCCAGAGTGTCCGGTTAGTATAAAGAATCTTGCTTCATGTTAACTGGAATTAATAGTATCCTTTCTTTGACAACAAGACAGGCGTGATGGCATTTTAAACATCATCAAGATCACATAGCTTTGATAATTTAAGGGATGGAAAGAGAGAAAAAGAAAAAAAGGATTATACATAAATATACTTTTAATTGTGTGTACTAGATCACATGTCATTTAGTGTTTGTTGATGCATTGGAGGCTTTGTTCTACAAATTTTAGCATTTTTCTTAAATTTTAGGTACCAAATGTATAAATCTAGGTGCTGACCTGTTACAAAAATATTGTCCCTTGACATAGTATTTCTTTAATTAGATCTATTATTAAGCAAGAGATCTATAAATGCTGATGTAAGAACTGGAAGTGCTACCTAAGCAAAATTCTATAATTGTTATTGTTCTTATTATAGATAAGCATCTAGTAAATAGTAGAGTAATCATTACTAGATCTATTTTTGATCTAATGGATGCTGAGCTGGCTGCATTGTTTATGAACTTCAGGGGAACTTCTAGCTCTATTTGCTGTGCCTTGCAAATCGCCTGTCACTAGATGCTCCACCTATCTATTCATCCAATCCTATTTATAGACCCATTACCCACAGTCCCACACTAGAGTCTAGATACTCCAAAAATTATGTTCTTTGCCCTATCATTGATATCTTTGCTGGTGTATTCAGTGTCTGCCTCCTGCCAATGTGGAGGGAATCCTTTGCCTACTGATTTCTCATCACACTCAGTTAATGA